GTAAAGAATTACCTTCCAACTGTGAAAATGCTTTGTGAGAGTTTTGGGCTGCTGCTTTTGGACATTTCTGAAATTCCTTGTCTCCACTTGCCACAAACAGGTCGCATAAAAGGAGAGGGGGAACCCCTGGGGCGCCTGGAGGCTTGTGCAAAGTAAGTGACTGCGGGGTTTTTATTGATAATTCCATCAGCTCTCCTGATCTTCTCTGTCTGTTTCTTCACTGTTGTGTACATGTGTGGACTGAAATAGAGCCAGGGGTCATGATCTCTGTGGGAAGGAGTGTTCAGGTTGTGTTTGGGCTCTCCTGGAACACAAGCATTAAATGCTTCTTCATGAAGAAATCTGAATGGATTCATCTGGACCATTTTGCTTCATTGTGTGTTTACTGGGGCCTAAATGTTGGCAGAATTTTCCTCAGGTTTTTCTGAGATCGCATTCAAACAGGTCTGTTTAATTTCAGTTGTAATTAACTAATAGTGGCTCTAATCTAATTCAGGTACAGGCCCAGTGCCAGGGAGCCCCGGTCGGGCTCTGCTCATGCTGTCATGGACATAGGGCTGGTCAGTGGAGTGGAGGCCAATCCTGAGGATTTATCTACTGCAAGTATTCAAGAATGGTTTTTCCCTTACTGGCTTTTTATGACAGAGCTGTAATATTTACTGTTCTTCATCTGTTTCTGTGCCCTGCAGCTTGCCAGTGGAGTTGATCAGCTGATAGCAGATTATGAGATAAAAGATGGGCATGTTGTCCTGCAGATAGACTCTGTATGTTACCCCTTCCCTGACTGTAAGCACTGCTTTTACTCTTTGGAATCATTTTGCCTCCTTTAGAGCTCCTTAATTCATGTGTCTCTCAAACAGGTGCCAGCTCACAAGTTCCTGTGTGTTGGCTTCAGGATCGGTGAGCTTTTCCGGGTTGGAATGCTGAACCCTGCCACCTTCACTGTGTATGAATATCATGCACCAGGTATGTGTTCCAGCTCTTCACATCCTTGTTTGCCTTTTAGCTCTGTATTCCTCCCAAAGAATTACATTTTCCTGTCTTTAACAGATTTGTTACTCCATTTTATTTGAAGCTCAGGTGACTTTTGCCTCGCCAAGTTTCACTGTTGACGTCTTAGACTTTGATTTTCTACATGTATTTTTTATTTCTTTCTGCATCTTCTAGACAAAAGGTGCACCATACTTTATAACCCCTACGGAAATGAAAAACTGGTGAGATTGTGTGAAGGGGATGAATGCAAATGCATGGAAGGTAAGCTTTATCTGAAGATTTTTTTTTTACATTTTACTTTGTGGGAAAATGCAGTGTAGTGCTTTGAACAAAGCCACGCTGAACATAAGAAAAAAGTCCTCATAAGAACACAGCTGTTTTCCCTCCAAATTTTACATTAAAAAGAAATTTAAAGCTGTGTGCAGTGTGATCATGGAAGTCTGACTGGATTGGGTCTGGTGTTCGAGTGCGTTATTTTGTATTTTAAATATTCACTGTTCCAGCATGCAATCCCCTACTTATGGTGCTGCTCAGTTAAACTTCCCATGCAGGATGATGGAAATGCATGTGTTCTGTGGGAACATGTGCTGGCATTCTCTTACCTCTGCCTTTCCCCTTCTCCTCTAGCTGAGTGTGGCAAAGTCCAGGAGAGACTCGGCCGGTCGGTGACTGCTGAGAGCAGGAGAGAGGCTGCCTGCCAGGGGGACACTGCTTATGGTAATGGGGCTCTCACTGCTCTTTCCCTGCTCTCAATTGCCTGTTTGCTCTGCTGCACAACATCTTGTTCGAATTATAGCTGTAGTGGTTAGAAATTCAGTGTGGCTGCCAGTGGCATAACATAGAGAAAGGTGAGTTCTAACCCCAGCTCCCTCAGATTCCGTGTGGGAAGGACTTCCAGTGCTTTCTGCCCCTATAACCACTGCATTCCCAGAAATCAGGGTTGCAAAGGGACACAAAATTCTCCCTGTGAGCATCTCTAAGACACTCAGGATGCATGGTAGGAGCAAGGAATAACCAGGTTCTGCTTTGTGTCGTTCTGCAGTTTATAAGGTGAACATCTTATCTCGCAGTGAGGAGGGGTTTTTTGTGAAGTACTCTGCAAATCTTCTGGACCTCTATAAAAGGGGTGAGTTCCCTGTTTCTGCTCCTGGGAGAAAGGAGTTGGAATGCTCTTGGGCACTCACTGTCTTACCTGTTGTTCATAGGAACTGAAGCTGATGTTCACTCCTTTGTCCTCTGAGTTTAAGCATCCCATATTTCCTTAACATTGCTATAATATAATTGTTCAATGTGCACAAGGCTTATTTACCATTCAGTTTTAATTGAAAAATCTTTTACAAGTGACATGTTTTTTATAATTAAATTTCCCTGTTATAGAACAGTGGCAAAGAGATCCCCTGGCTGTGCAGTACTGTAGAACATTTTAGTGTTTTCTATCTAATATTTGAATTACTGGCAATTCTTTCTGTGTAATTGTCCCATTCTTGATTGTTTTTTGGTTCTTTTTTTTACTTCAGGGCAGGCTTTTGCTCAAAAAAATAGTGAAATAACCTTTGTTAAAAAGAAGACTTGCACAGAAGTTGAATTGAACCCAGGAGAGCAGTATTTGATCATGGGAAAAGAAGCCTTAAAGATAAGCATTGGTTACAGCTTCAAGTAAGTCATTTACCACCAGGATGTGCTGAGATTTAATCTTAAAGTGTTTGTATTTAATAATTCTTGTGAGGCACAGAATTGATTTAATTTTGAAAGTATTCACACAGTGGTCACACAGTATGGTATCAGATGTGCTCACTCAAAGCAGGATTGTGAACACAGAGCCAGCATTTCCATATTGTAATATTTTTTCTGCTTGACATTTTCCTTCCCAAATCTTAGCAGAAAATGATAATTTTCTGTTGTCTTCTTAGATTCCAGTATCCTTTGGACTCCAGCACTTGGATTGAGTGGTGGCCTTCAAATACAGCCTGTACATCCTGTCAGGAGTTTCTGAACACAATGGATGATTTTGCTGAAGATCTCCTCATCAGTGGCTGTTAATTCACTTGGACAGTTTTTAAATCAAAAATCCAGATCAAATCCCATTGAAAAGAAGAAAAATCCTCACCTCATATTTATTAATTCTTTTTGACTGAACACTCATTAATGGTTATCATGAAAAATTATTTGGCATGTATTTTATAGCAGTGTTATTACAGAAGAGTAATGCTCAAATATGATTCTTAAGCTTGGATGAGAGAATAACACAGAACAGTGCAAAGCCATTTGAAGTCAAAAGAATTGGACTGACTGCAAAAACAAAGATGAAAAGCACTGTCTTGTCACTAAACTCAAGTCTTATCAGAACATAAATATATGGAGCCACTTTGTAAGCTCTCTGTGAAAGAAACTTCATTCCTTAGCTTTTCCTTTTGTACTCTTTTTTTGAATTCCTGCATTTCCATTCCTGACAGTAACTGATGCTGGTTTTATGCTCTGCTTTCTTGTTTAGAAAAAAAAATAAAAAATCTTCAGTTATATGTGTGCCTTTATTATTTATGCTTTAAGACACAGTCAACTGAATCAACATCTGTAACTTAGGTGGATTAAAACAAATGTTACTTTGCATTTGATGACTGAATTTGACAGTTAAAAATCTTGCCTTGCCTCCAGGAAAGTGGCAGATGAAAGGCCAATTTTCCTGCTCACAGCTCCTGGCACAAATCACCTTGGTTCCCAGTAAAACTGAGAAGAGAATTTGATACAAAGTACAGTTGCACACGTTTTTATTTGTATTGAGGAGTTGCCCAAAAGCAGCACGTCCAAGAACTTTAAAATTACTGTTTTCCCTCTCTCTTAGGAATATCTAGATCCAGAACATTTAAGATGTGGAAAGAAGATATTCAGAGATGATGCAATTTTTAATTTTGGCTGTGTGAGTATTTGACTTTTTTTTAATCCTCCAAACTTTCTAAGAAGCACAAGAAGCTCACACTGTGTCCAGTAATAACTGGATATAAATTCAAACTGCAGGGAGCAGTACATGGAAATGCTCAGTGGGGCTGTCTAGACAGGCCACCTGTAAACATTTCTGCTTCTGAACCGTGTATTGTGAGACCTAATTATCTCTTTAAATGACAAGGAGCATGTCTTGTTTCCACAGGTGACTTGTGACATTTAAGTTCTATTGATTTTTAGTGAGCCAGACTGCAAAAAAGGCTCCTGAAGACCAGTTATTTAAAAATAACACATGAAAATGCTGCTCTTAAATATCAAATTGCAGTCACTAATTAAAAAAAAATCTTTAATCTTATTTGTTATCTCTGTTTCTATTCAGAATTAACAATCCAGTATATCACTGAGATCAGTAAGATACTTCAAATGCATGCATTTAAAAGGGAACATTTGTTCAGATAATCAGCCACGTGTAGGCTGGAGGTGTGTACAAATCCCAGTGTCAGGAAGATTTCCCTTCCCCACGTGGCATGGCTTGGCTTTCACAGCAAAACCACGTGGGGGAAAGGTATATCAGTGTCTCCATCTGCTTCCACATGCAGAGGATGTTGTCAGATTTCTGCAGGACAAGAGAAGATGGAAGTGACATGGGAGTGATTTTAGAGCTCAGTGCCAACCTTGGTGCCTCACGGTCAGAGAGTTCTGAGGCACCAAGCAGCCCCCAGGATTAATCCCAGCAAACATGGAAATTCTTGGAATAATCACTGCTTAGGTGACTCATCTGTATTATGAAATGGAAATTATTTTAAAGCACATTCTGTCCTTCCAAGCTTAGTGTGGATTCTGGACACCAGAGCTTTTCTCTCTGAATTGTACACAGTGTTTTTCTGTTCCTTGCTTGTTTATGTCTGTGATGTGCAAGTCTCCAAATGTTCCAGCCTTTGAATCCCCAGCCAAGAGCTGTAGTGCTTCCAGAAGGACTCGAATTTCCCTGCCCCACTGCTGCAGTGCTCCCAAAGGCCAGGCAGTGCCAGGTGACTGCTCTGCCTCCCTGCTGATGAACTGGCCTCAGAGCTGAGTGCTCCTGCCCACGTTTATCCCCAGTTTTCCAAAAAAAAAAATGGATGGCTGACCTTGCCTGCACAGATCATCTCTGAAAGCAGGACTTTCTAAGGGCAATTAAGTAAGTTTTTACTTAATTATTGTACTTTTATTCCTTTTTCGTATATTTCCCTTTGAATAAGGAAACTCAGCAGATGCCATTCAAATGGGATTCTCCCTGGGTACTCTTGGCAGGCCTGAGTTGGTTGAGTTCCAGAGATTATAACAAATCTAAGGGTTAATACTGTGATATCCTTTGGCTCTTTTAAAAATACCTGTTTCTGTACATTTCCATTTATATTTTAGACTGGTTTTTAGACAGCTAAGCATCACAAAATGAACTCATTTCTCTTTTCATTGCGACCAGAAATTAATCTCAATGACCCAAGCTGGTGAGTGACTTGAATAGCCCAAATTCCAGCCTGTTATGCACAGTGACATGTGAAACTCACACTTTGCTCTGGGCTGAAAGCTGCTGGGCTGTGCCAAAGAGCTGTGACTAATTTAGGGAGAGAGCCAAAGGGTGCCTTTCTCTGGCCATTGTTCCCCAAGCAGGGAAGAAGTGATTTTGTGTGTAGAATCCTTCAGGACATGCCACAAGCCCTAGGTAGTCTTACTCAGCCAAGTGCTCCGTCAAAAATGGTGTGAAATTAGGAATACCTGGCAATTTTAGGAGAGGAATGGTAAATCCCTATTGCAGACTAGTGTTACTTTCTGAATACCTCCATAGTGACTGCCATAATTCTCTCCTGGCTGACCCCAACACATATATTAAATACTAGGGGGAAGAGTGTGGGCTAGGAGGGTGCAAGCCCAAGTTAGCACATAATTTTTATTTTGTTATGATGCTCCACTGTCATCTGAAATGATTTGGAATGGGAGAAATATTCACTTCATCACGGTGAGTTTGTTCAGTGCATCTGGGCAATGCAAAGCCAGAACATCACACCAAAATTCTTTTCTGTATTTGCACAGCAATGTAGATGTTCAGTGTAGGGACAGTCCCTCTTCTGAGTAAGCAGGTGGAGCAATACAAAATCCTTGAATAAAATCCTTGGTAAGATTACTTTCTAGTTCAAAACTCTTCTAATAAACATTATCAAACACCCATTCCCACAAAGAAGAGCTGTGGAATCAGCTGGCAGGGGTCTGTAGGTCCCTTTACAGAAGAGGTGTCAGGAGAGGAGTGAACACAGGGCAAGGAAATCCATCTTTTCTTTTGAGTGGAGATTATTTTGTAATTTAAAAAAATCCCAGTCTGGGAGCTGCCAATTTGGTGTCCATCCATGGTGGGTAGTCTGACTTGACCCTGCCTACAGAGGTCTATTTTCAGCCTGTGTAAATGTTAATGTTTAGACATGTCTCCCAGCAAAATGTGTTCTTAATCTCCTGCTGAATTCTTACATCAGAACACACAGAAATTTAGCATGGCTGTCAGTTATTTTCCAGTAAAACACCCACCTTATAGCAGTTACATATGCTTTCAATTTTTAGGATATTTAATAATGTTTTCATCTCTAATTAGGAGAAATATCTGGGCTTGACTCTTTCATTCTCCTGGGAACCAAGAGTTTGCTTTTGCCAATTGCTGGATCATTACAGAATTCCAGTCCTTGTGTTAAATTTTGCTTTTCAAGTTCTGAATGAACTTGGAATTTGGATACATGTTTAAGCAGCAACCGATTTCCTGGAAAATACTAAACTGGATTAAACACCACAACTCTCATAAAAAGAACATTCAAGTGTAGAAAACAATAGCAGAGAGATCCTGAGTAAAACTTGCTCTATTCAACCCTTTCTTTTCTTCAAATATTTCAAAGGAAATATTTGTTACACACAGGGGGTTATGTATAAAATGGTTATATTTACCCACATTCCGAGCTAGAAGTCACGAAATGCAGATTATTCCTAAGGTGCTGTGGCTCAGACTATAATTCCTTTGTTTGTTTGCTACTTGACAGTTAAAAGGGGCAATTTCTTTTACAGGCAAAGTAAACAAAAAGTTATATTAGATGCACTTTAAGTCAGTTGAGATATTAAACCCCCAGAATTGGGGTTTACAGTGGAAAATCTATTTTCTCTTAAGGGCAGCAGCCCCACTGGTGCCAGTTTAAAGGACTCCAGAGCACACAGAGGTTCAGAGCTGGGTTTAGTGCTCTGAGGCTGGTTCTAAGGAGCCCTGATATGAGCTTGAATTGTCTAATTTGGCTTTACAAGAGGAGCCCCAGCAGCACATTCTTTCCACTGGCAGCTCCCTGCAGTTTGTACCATGAGGAGCACATCCTCAGCTAGAACAAATCCGTGGCATTGAAATTCTTTTGGAGGAGCTACACTTGATACCTACATCTGCAGATAGAGGATTTCTTCAACTGCAGCACAAAAAAAAAAAAAAAAAAAACCAGTGGGAAAATTGCTTTGCAAAGAGGAAATATGTCAGGAACACCTCAGCCATCCCAGTTTGTACCTGCTGAAAGGGGAATTGCAATACACAGACATCAGCTGAGGTGTTGGTGACAGGCTGGGCCTGAGTGGCAGCTGTGACTGAAGTCATTCCTGTGCTGCATGGCTGAGCTGTCTGGCTCTGCCAGGGTCTGATTAGCCAGGTTTCCTTCATTACTTATAAAAAGCAATATGCCATAAAAGTGTCATTTTCACTGCTTAAATCATAAATTTTTCCATTAAAACCTTCTGCCATAAGGTCCTAGAGGATATTCATCCCCAGGCTCTGACAGGGAGGTAGGAATGGGTGTTCATTGCCAGCAGCAGTGAATTCCAACTGTTTGAAGTCACCAATCTGTGTAATATTAAAGGGTGGGCTTCTTTCTAAGCTTCTGTTTTGGTCAGGAATCTCAAAAACAAGGTAGGATCAAAAGCTTCCTATGGAACCATGAGGGATCAACTTAATCCTTGACATAATTTAGCAGGATTCCATGGATTTATACCAGAAACTGGGGGGATGTATCTAAACCTACATGAGCTCCTGCCCTGTGTCCCTGCTGATCCTGCCAACCCCCGTGCCCAGTTCTGAACTGGGATTAGTCCCAGCCCAGAAACATTTCCCAGGGCTTTGAAACAAGATATTCATGATAAGAAAAACTGTTGGATGTGACTTTAGAGAACCAGATTTAGGAAATGCTGAATTTCCTTCCGGTCCATGTCTTGCCCCAAGGAACCCCAGGCTTTGCTTGTGAAGCATCTCCACAATTCCTGCTGCCCTCCAAAGCCAGGCTTTGGTTGTTTTGGTTCCTCCCAGGCTTCCCCTGAGCCTGGGCAGATGGGAGCATTCCCTGTGTTCCTCCTTCTCTGGCTTTGGGGTTCCAACACCCAGTTTGTGATTCAGATGGTGGATGTGGAGCTGCAAGTTTTGTTTCCTTGGCTGGATTCCAAGGACGCTGCTGGGAACAGGTCTGGGATTTTGGGCTCTTGGGTTCCATCCCTGGCACGGCTGCCAAGAGGTCTGGCCTCAGGAGAGGGCTCTTTTTATTCAGGAGTTTAAACACTTACCTGTTTGCCCTATTCAGAATATAGGCCTGTTACTCTTGCACTTGCTTTCCCCACTTCCAGATGTAATTTTTCATTCAGGCTCCTCCTGTGCTTAAAATTAATTTTCCTTTCTCCTTGAGAATCCTCCTTAAAACATCTTGGTTTGTGAACACTCAGGAGTTTTACTTCTTGCTATAGCAGTGTTTTGGTGAGGGCTTTGTTTTCCATTTACAATATGGATAAAGAGAATTTTGTTTTCCTCTTGTGAAACTTCATAGAACACTTGGAGCTTCTGTGTTCCCTGGGTGTGTTGCCCATAAAATCCAGGTACAAATAGACATGTCAGTGGTGGTGTGGAAATTACTCAGGATTATGAATCACACTGAAAAATGCCATTGGAAAACTGAGCCTGATGCTGTTAGTCATTCTGCAATAGCAGAGGGAATTATGGGCTCAGTGGAGGAGAGATGCAAGTTAGTGCAGAGTCAGTCTCTTTCTGCTTCTGACATGTGGAAAACATCTTCAAACATCTTTATTTTTCACTGTTATTAGCAAAATGAGCAGCTTCTGAAAGGGTTAAAGGAGATTTGCCATAACCTTCACTTTCCCCTCAGTGCTTGTCATTTATGAGAATTAATGAAGATATTAAATAAATCTAATGTTTCCTTTTTCTGTTTCCACTAATTAGTCCCAGTCAATCAATAGAATATCCACATTTTCCCAGCTGGTTTAGAGTCAAAAGATACTGAAACTGAACTTGTTTTTTCATGTCACATCCAGAGCTTTGGAAGAGTGTTTTGGCAGGCTTCCCCCTGGGCACAGCTCCCATTCCCAGAGTTCTCTCCAAAGCATTAAGAATGGAAAGAAGCAGCTCAGAATTTTCCAGTTTAGCTCAGGCTTTCTGTACATTAAGAGAAACAGAAGCACAACCACAAGCACAGCAAAACCCTTCATGTGGCCAGGGAGCTGAGCTTCAGCTGGGGAAACTGGCACAAACTGGTCCGTGCTGGGCTCACAAACTGGGCTCACACATCACCCACGTTTGTCCTGCTGTGGGTGGGGGACAGTGGCTGAGGCACGAGGCCACCAGGGAGCTTCTCCTCATGAAGGAGATCTGCCTGCTGGCCTAAACTCAGAGGCAGCCTCAGAAATCTCTCAGTGAGTTACTCTGAAATACTCTTGCTTGTAGGAAACCATCAAGGCCACTGTGATGGAGAGAAACACTTTCATTTTCTCTCTGCTCTCCAGGGTGATTCCTTGGCTTGGCTTGTGGAAACTGCTTAAGTGAGTGACTGAAATAAGCCACACACACACACACACACACACACACATATATATATAAAATGTCAATTTTTGGGTGCTTCTCTCCTGTCAAATGCTGGAGAGGTGCTCCAGAAAATCTATTATTTGGAGGAAAACATTCCTATGATAATACTGCCTTACAGAGAATATGATCTGGGAAAAATCCTGAGGCAGAGCAGGGATGAGGAAAATAAAATTGATTCCTGATGTCTCTTTGAGGGTTGCAGTCCAGCTCTTATGAAACTTAGTGAGAAATTTTCCTGCTCTTGTAATGAGGGCTGGGCTGGTCCTTGGGGTAGCACCATAACAAAGCAGAGCCACAACTGGTAGTAAGCACAAAACTGGTAGTAAGCTACAGCTGATAGTAAGATAAAACTGAAACATGTCAAAAGATTTTATTAGAGACAAGAGGCTGAATTCTGGCAAAGCTGTCAAGTTCACTGAGGATAATAATTAATTATTAATGATTCTTCTTTTTCTAATCTTGAATTGGTGGAACCTCACAGACACTGTGTTCCATTCAGAAAATAAGTGAATATTTATATTCACTTATTTTATAATAGTGTGGAAGTTACAGAGCTCCTCCATATCAGAGCTCTGAGCAGGCAGGAATCTTGACTTGAAGCACTGAGCTCCAGTTCCTAGAAGTGCTGGATCTCATGGGCACTGGATTTGCTTTTACTAGCAAATTTTCCTTCCTGTGTTTTACCCATATTCAGTTTTCCTAGAACATGTGCACATTTCCAGCTAATTTATATAAATTGAAAATTGTGTTTTCATCGGAGACATCCCTATCTTAAACATCTCTCTGAAATGCAAGTCTCCTTTTGATTACAGTCTTTAAAACCCAGAGCATCTGAGCCTAAATTCCATTTTCAATGTCCTGTGAAATTGGTAGCATTAAAAGTCTCAACACCTTGGCTTATTTTTAAAAGGTGATATTAAATATAGGAATATATTCCCTTATGCACTTTTCCCATAGGATATAAAATGGTCATTCCCTCTAAATAGTAACACAGTGCCCTGCAATGCTGAGCACTGCTGGAATGCCTCTACAGTAAAATTAAGCTTCAAATTTTAATCTCTCTCTGAGCCACATCCTGTTTTCAGTTAACTGATCTCATATGGGGGAAATTTACCACAGGAAATCTCTCTAGTTGGTTTGGAAAGTACCAAAACCTTATCTTTAGTTTCTTTGTGTAACTCAGCACCTTTGGAGACAGAGGTGTAACAGAATCACAGAAACTTTCAAGAAGTCTCAAAGCCAGAGGAAAGGAGTGAGTTAAGGGCACGGGGAAGAGGTGGAGCTGCCACTTCATCCCTGAACTGACCCTGTGGTGTAACACTGATCATTCTAAAATTAACATCTTTGTACCCCCATAATCTGAAAAACCACATCCAGAAGTCTTTTCCTTTCTGAAAGAGGTTTTAACTCACATCCTGGCAGAAACTGCCCGGGCCAAATTAACTTAGGATGAATTTTAACAACCCAGACGAGGACAAATGGCTCAGGGCAAGGCCTCAGTGGGGCTGTGTCACACTTTCCTCCTGGCTTTGAGTTAACACCCAGCCCTGGTGACTCTGAACTACACATCTACACCAGCTCAGAGCAGAGAGGAGGGAGCTGAGGTGTGTGTTGTGTCTGCCTGTGCACACCCAGCACGGGAAGGTGCCGGACTCGAGGCAAGCTCTGCTCAAAGGAATCCCTCAGCAGCCAGCACACCCCACGGTGCTGCAGCGCTGGCTCCTGTCAGGGCAGCAGTGCAGAAGCAGTGAGGCACCCAGAGGAACACCTCTGCTTCTCATTGTCAATGCTGAGCAGGGCATCACCCCCAGGGATGTTCCCCGCAAGGAACAGTGAACACATTTGCATGTACAGCTCTTTTTCTGACTGAATCCTCTAGAGCTAGAGAGGGTGGCAGGTTGCGTCGGGGGTGCACAGGTCCATTATTCTGCTGATAATGAAACTCCGCTTTGTAGAACCTTTCCTGCGCTCTAAGAAGGCTTTGCAGGCATTGCTGTCTCCCCGAGCTGCTTTGGAGGGTGAGGCACAGCGGGGCTCCCCCGGCGAGGTTTCCCGGAGGCTCCCGAGGCTCCCGGAGCGGGCAGGGGCTGCCCCGAGCAGCCGGGGAATGTCGCGCTTTCTGTCAGGATTATCTGTCTGAGCCCCGGGCACCACGGCAGCCCCGGCACCTCTCCGCTTTCAGGAACCAGCCGCCACATTCTCCATTTTGGGTGGCCCGGGGGAATTCGCCTGGCGGGGCCTTTCCTCAGCCCGTTCCCCGTGCCCCGGGCAGGGCAAGCTCCGCTCCCGCCGGCCCCGGGGCGCGGCTCGGGCTCCCCGCTCCTCCCGGCCGAGCGAGGCAGCATCGCCCAAAGCCAGCCCAGCCCCGGCCGCTGCTCCGGTGCCGCGGTGAGCGCCCGCCCGGGCCCGGCGGGCTCAGGTACGGGAGAGGATGCGGGGAGGGATGGACGGCAGCGGCGGGGAGGGAGGGGAGCAGCGGGGAGGGAAGGGGCTGGCCGGGGATGCTGGCCGGGGGGCTGGCTGGGGGTGCTGGCCGGGGCTCCTGGCCGCTCTCCGCCGCCCTGAGCCGGGGTGGGCTGCGGGACCCCCGGGCCGGAGCGCTCCGTGCCCCGGCAGCCGCTCAGACCCCTTCGGTTCCGTGCCGTTTGTGTTACCGGCGCTCACTCCGGGCTCTGGCCGCCCCTGCGGGCTCTGCGGAGCTCCCGCTGCGATGCTGCAGAGGGAATTGGCCGAGCCAGGCCGTGGAAAAGGCTGCTCGCCCCCGGGCAGAGCCCCCAGGCCGGGGGTGTGTGCCCTGCCCGCATCACGGCGCCAGCCCGGCCTGCCCACGGCAGCCTGGGCTTCGTTTATTTTCAGATTTCTCAGTCTTTTCTCAGTTTTCAGATTTCTCAGTCGGATTTCTCAGTCTCAGTTAGCAGTCTGTTGGTAATACTGACACAGGTTATGGTGTGTCAGTGCTGTTATGGGGAAAAAAATCTTTATGAAGGGTTTATTATAATGAAACTGCACCGGTTCCCTGGGTAAAAACCTTTTTGGACTTTCCAAGAGATGCCAGAATCAGTTTTGGCTGCATTTCCAAAAATATCCACTGCACAGCAAACCCAAGCAAGTTGAATATACACGATACCTTGGCACATGTGGCTCCAGGTGGGCCTGGCCAGAGCATCAAGGGCTTGTGGACTTGTGATTTCCTTTGTCACTTCACCACAAGTCTTATGACTTCGGGAAAGTCACTGTCAACACACCAGCTGCTCAGTTTCTGTGTGTATGAAGTGAAATCACGAATTTTGAGAATTGATGTGGTTGGGGATTCACTCTGCAGAAACAATCCTGTGTGATGAGGACTGACGGGACTGCAGCTCATCTTTCTACGAGCTGAAAACTCTTGAAAGAAAACCCCAACCCACCCTTTTTAGGACACTTTTGGGTCTATTTTTTGTGTTTGAGGGAAATTTTAAAGGTGTAATTTCCTGCTGGGGCCAGGTCAAACCCCAGTGTGACATTTGGTCACGCCTGTCACTGCAGACCCAGCCAAGCACGGCGGGCTTGCTGCTCAGCTCTGGGGCTCTGTGCATCCTCTCACATCCAAGTGAGTGTTTGCCTTGTCTGAGCACCTGGATTTTATCTCCTCTTGGCCAGAGCTCGCTTCAGATGGCTGAGAGCAGCCCCAGGAGCCTGCAGGACCCCCCTGGCTGTGCCCCTGATGAGAACGAGTTCCCCTTCGGGTACCCCACCAGCATCTGCCAGGACGTGCCTGGCCAGAAGTTCCTGTGCAGCAGCTGCCACAACATCCTGAGGAAAGCCCTGCAGACGCTGTGTGGGCACAGGTACTGCTCTGCCTGCCTCACCTGGATCGTCAGGTAGGTGCTGGGCACTGCCCGGGGGCACTGCCCGTACCTGCAGCATTCCCGGGGCTGGGATGGGCTGCTCTGGCATTGTCCTGGCTGGAAGGGTTTGGGTGGGGGACTGCAGGATGTTCCCTGCCTCCTCCTCCTCTCTGCCATGGAAGTCTCTGGGGCCTTGATGGGGTTTTTCTGTCTGTGATATAACAATTCTGATTTAACCTTGAAGAATTGGTCTAAGGCTTAATCCTTGGACCTTGGACTCAGTCCTTCCATGGCACTTCACAGCCCTTTGATAAGGGATGTTATGGGGTTTTGGTGGATATGATGTCATGTGTGTCTGTATCTGGCTGGGCAAAATGGGCATTTTCTGTGTTTTAAAATATGCCAGTTTTCACATTCTCCTTTCTACTTGGAGTTTTTGAATCATTCATGGGATAAATAGCTTTCCATCTTTATTCCTATTTATGGTTCAGGCTGCCCTTATTTTACTGAAATACAGATAAGATTAATGGGCATAGTCCTGATCTTGAGCAACAGAAGAGCAAAACTTTTTTGACATCAGTGTGTTCAAGAATTGGCCTTTAGTGAACAAGGACTATGGATTCTGAGTGGAAATCACAATTTTCGTGGTTTTATTTGTGTCAGTGCCTATGCAGAGACCTCCTAAACTGCAGTGCACCATGGGATTGGTATTTAATTTTCCTTTTCTTTTTACCAGAAACAATAAAAATGCAATTTGCCAGAAATGTAAAGAGGAAGATCCCAACACTTTAGGTGAGGAAAGCCTATTGGCAGAAGAAAGGGTAAGTTGTAGTTCACAGATCATTAATTTATCAATAACCATTCTCTGTAGTCATCACTGGACTGGAGTTCAGGAGGGAATAATATAAAATGCAATAGCAGCTGATAGTTACACATTTTAACTTAAGCTCTAATAACTTGGATTTCCCAGAGTTTTTGATTTTGAAAAGTGTAATGGCAGCCTCAGGACTTTCCAAATCCAGGTTCTGCATTGTAAAATCCCAAACTCTTCCATATGATTAACTTTTTATTGTCTCAAAGTAAGTGGTGCTTTCCTACTTGTAATAATATGTCTGAACTGTTACTTATTATCCTCAGGAAGTACTTTAATGGATTTTCCAACCTCATGGTTTCTTGTACCCTTCAAACACGAAGCTGGACATAATAATTGATACAAACTATGCCCTGGCCAATGTTTCATCTGTAATTTAATGGAGCAGATCTCTTCTTGTGTGATTTTCCTGGCAAATTGCTGTGCTGTTCTGTATCCCAAGGGGCCCTAAGGCCCAGCCTGTCCTTCTCCCTCTCTGATTACATGCAGGGATATCAACAGACACATAATTTGTCTAAATTTTTAGGGGGGAAATGAAAAACAGGCAGCTGACAGTGGCATAAAAGCCAAAGTTTAGAAAGCAGCAAAATAAGGGATCTGCTGCTGATGCTGAACTTGGTGACATCCCAGAGAAAAAAACCAAACCAAACCTCAATTTTGGAATGAATTTCCCAGTGACAGGTTTCCTGCACTAATAGGTGCAGCTGAGCCCTTCTGAGCTTTGCCTGTCAGCAGTTTGGGGTTTCCCTGCTCTGGGATTCTCCCCAGAGTGCTGGGAGTTTCTGCAGGTGGGGTTTTGAGCTGACCTGCCTGGAATTGCTCTGCCTGCTGCGTGTCCAGGCTCCAGGAGGGGATTTACCTGTGCAGATCGCTCCCAACAGATGCTGGGTGGATTTTCAGGAGCTTTGAGACGTGGGCTTTGTTTGTAAATACTTTCCTGCCTCTGTTTGTAAAGCTTTCCCCTCCAGTCCTTGCTCTTTGTTATTCTGTGTGAAATCTGCATTTCTCTGCACTGCAGACCACCCAAAAATGCCTTTAAACCTGTGGCAGGGCTTCCTCTTGTGCCAGGATCCCTATTTTAGTGCAAGGTGTAGTACTGAAGAGTGCAGTATTTCACCATTACATAATTGTACAATTCCTCGTGTTTAAATAGCACAAAAAATCGACGTAGTGCAAAGAACAAACCTCTCTCCCATCTGGTTCATATTTTTTTTCAGCACACGGTGTCTGCTAAATGGAAGCAGCCCAGATCTGAGCAGTGCTCTCAGTGCTCTCTGCAGCACGTTTAGGAGGTGTTAATGACCCCGATAATGAAATGCATTCATTAAGGGACCCCTCAGTCAGGGTCCTGTCAGCACATCGCTGCATGTGAAATATTTCAGGCTCCTGTGAAAAGAAATGCCAAATAAGAGCTGTAGTTGGCTGGGCTTATTTTCAGTAAATTAATATCGTGTCAAATAGATTATTTTTGAGTGCTAAGAAGTAAAATATTTAATAATTATTTGGGCTTCTACTACACTAAGATTAATTTGCCAGGTCACAGAGTCTTATGCAATACAGTAAATTTAAAAAAAATATTAAAGATTTATCAAGGTGTGAATTTCTACCACCCTATTCATATTCCAAGGATGCATCCAAAAGTACTTTCTGACCAATATTTTTTTCCTTATTTTGTTTTCTTTACAGGCTTTTGGTGATGCTGCCATTAATAAAGAGATTTCTGAGCTCAGAGTCCACTGTGTGACCCTTGGGTGCAGCTGGTCTGGTATCATGAAAGATTTTGAAGTATGTTCAAAGAGAGTTTATTCAGATTCATATAGAGTGGGGACAGAGAGGCAATAAAACCAGGATATCAGCAGGCACAAATTAATGCAATTAATTAGAGTCAGCGTCAGTATTGTGATTTTTACCAATGTTTTTGTCCAAATTGTGCCATTAACCTATGGAGGGTCCCCTGCCTGTGGCAGGGGGCTGGGACTGGATGATCTTTGAGGTTTCTTCCAACCCAAATCATTCTGTGCTTCTGTGATTAACTTTAGTAGGGTTTTGGCCAAATCCAGAACATTCTGAATGAAACTCACATTGCACAAACTTACATCAACTTGGTATTTTATCCATTGGTTTCCTTGTTATTTAAATGCAAGGCTGCTACAAGCAGGTGGTGACAGGGCAGAGCAGTTCAGCCTCCAGGACACTTCAGGCAATGTTTTATTGGAGAAATAATTCCTGGGCATGTTTTATTGGAGAAATAATTCCCTCCTGTGTCAGTGTATTGATTGTATTCATCATTCCTTTCAGACTGGTCTGAAATGCCTCAGTTAAAATATTTAAAATGAAAAGATGTGTGGATCTGCCATGCAAATCTGAGTGATGAATACAAGGGAGGAAGCTGGGACCAGGATCATGTTGTTTTCAAGCAAAAGCCCTAAGGGGCTTTTTAAGGGAGACCTCATGTTTGAATTTACCAAATGTTGTTTGGTTTTGGTTTTGGTTTTGAGATTATTTCAAAATTAATAATTAAGAAAAAAAATCCCCAGTAAAGTTGGTGAATTTTTCACCACTAATCTCAGTAACTTTGTGCTGTGGGACTTTACCCAAGCTTAGAAGAAATGCAGATCAGAGCCCTGGGCTGCCAGCACAGAGACTATTTATAGATAAATGTGAATATCTATTTATAGATAAACGTGAATGAGCACTTCACAAGTTGCTTTATAACTTTTTACCTCCAGGAGCATCAGAGTCTGTGTGAATATGCTTTGATCCCTTGTCACACTGGCTGTGGGCACGTGGTGATGAGGAGGAAGCTAGCAGATCACTTGGAAAAGGGATGTGTCAATAATGTGACAGTGTGTCAGCAGTGCCAGTGCAGCCTGGCCAGCTCTGAGTGCCAGGTAAGAACATTTCTCTCTCAAATAAAGGCTTTTTATTGATGCTTTCAATGACCTGTGGTGCCATTTTCCCCTCCTGATTTCGTTGCACTCGGGGAATATTTAATTTTCCTGAGTTTGATCATTTTCCCACACGAGTGTTGGAGGACAGAATGGGTGTGATGATGTGCTGCTGATGTGACAAAGTGCCCCTGTGCTCCCCTGGCTTTGGGCAGCCCAGGTTTCATCTCCTACCCCAAAATGAGTCCTGGTGTGAGGCAAGAGGAAACCAGAAAAGCACAGACAGCAGCAGGGAGGGGATCTTGAAAGTGGCTGAGGTTTATTCAAACTAAAACTACCCACAAATTTGCAGGGCAGGATTCTGTCAGATATTATTTCTATAGATCTGACCAGGTATAAATCTCCAAATTATCAGCAGTGACCAGGAAGATCTCACTCTGAATCTGCCACAAATATCTCAGTACCCATTCAAACATATTTTCTTTATATTTTTTATGCTATTTAGTACAAAACAATGAATATTGTTCCCTCTGAATGATTTCAAGAGGATAATTGCCAGCCTTGCAGTTGGGCACGGTGATTAAGGACCCACAGGAGAGGAGGGCTGTGAATATTTCAGAGATGTAAATAGTTCTGAGTGTCCAAAGTGTCACAAATTGGTGCCTTTCAAATACTGAGCTGACAGATTTGTAAGGAATACGAGTCCTCCTGGGGCAGGAATGGGGTGCTCTGCTAAAATCTGCTCCCTGGGCAGCTTCTGCTCGGAGTCTTGGACGCTGAAAATTTTAAACTTTCTGTGCTGAAGGGCACAGACCCCCAAGAAAATTCTGTGTTTGACCTGAGGCCGTGGAGAAGGCTTCCAAGATGGATTGATAGCACTGGGATTCCAGGTGTGGAGTTGGATTAAGTGTGTAATATTAAATATATTAATTATACTTCCTATAAGTATAATTAATTATATTTCCTATAAGTATAATTAATAAATATTATTCCTAAACAACACAATATTATTTATTATTGATATTAAGTAATATTTAATATTAATATTAAAGTGTGTAATATCTCAGGGTAGAAAACAAATGCTTTCAATCCTGACCTCAACAGAGGCAGAAAAAAGAAGCCAAACCCAGCACTGCTCGTCCTTCAGTGACCTGCAGAGAGGGGAGAACCCGGAGCCAGGCTCATCCTGCCGGTGCTAAACCCAAAACTGAGAACACCAGAAGGTGGCAACACCAATTCCTGCCAGCCTTGCTGGGCTGGGGCTGCAGGGGAAGCTGAGCTGGGCTCCTCCTCTGCTCAGGGCTCTCTGCAGCTCCAGAGCTCCTTTCCTCCCACTCAGCCACCACCTAATTGTTATTTTGGTTGGGAAACCTTGGTAACCGAGCAGGGGGTTGGCCTCGAGGTGTGGCTTTTTCTCGGCCTCCTTTAGTATGTGTAGAATTCTGGTTGCTGATGTGCTTTAATGAATTTGCACCGGGTTCAGGATTGTGGTTATTTGTGGGTGCTCCAGTGTCCACAACCCTCTGGGGAGAATAGTAAATTTTGGGTGCTGCTCTTGCTCTCTTCGTTTTATTCATTCAGTTTAAGGTCTTGTGATTTTTTCTGTATTTCTCTATTTTTAAATAAACTTCTCTGCTCTGAAGGAGAGCCCCTCTCCCCCTCAAGAAAGTGGCGATCTGAAGGAGTAAAAGAGCAGAAATGAGTAAGATCACTGGCAAGATAGAGAGTGTTAAAAAACGAGTTAGAGAGTGAGAAAACCCCGTGGCTGCATTTCTGAGAATCGAAAGGGAAACCTCAGAACTGGTGTGCAGAGGAGCTTGTGGAGATTAAAGGCATCCCCTCTGCAGAGTGTGGCAGCTGCTGTGTTAAATGCAGATTTACAGAGCCAGTGCCAGGGGGATCACTTCACCCTTCCTGAGGCAGAAATGGCAGGAAGGCTCCTGTGAGTGTGATGCATTTTGTGCAGCACATCACGATGGAGAATTTGGATTGCAGCCTCCAAAGTGCTCATAAGCAGGATGCAAGAAGGGTCTGCACGTTGAGCAAAGTGGATGGAGTCAGCACAAGAAGAGTTTATATCTGAATTATATTTGAATGTGAATTTATATTGGAGTTTCCTGTGCTGTAACCTGTTTATGTTCATATATATATATATATATATATATATATATAAGAATTTGGATTGCAGCCTCCAAAGTGCTCATAAGCAGGATGCAAGAAGGGTCTGCACGTTGAGCAAAGTGGATGGAGTCAGCACAAGAAGAGTTTATATCTGAATTATATTTGAATGTGAATTTATATTGGAGTTTCCTGTGCTGTAACCTGTTTATGTTCATATATATATATATATATATATATATATATATATATATATGTATATATTTGAATTTCCTGTTCTCTGGTCATTGTTGCTTCCTGTTCTGTAATCCCCTGCTTGTCACTGCATGTATGTGAGTGCACATTTCTGTGTGTGTGCACATAACTTTGAACCTGGCAGCACCTGCACATTGCCAGTCTTGTATCCAATATCCCAGAGTGACCTTTAATTCAATAATCAAATAAGGTACTGACTTTTTTCCTTCTTGTTTCAATGACAGGAACATTCATGTGAAGGCAGTTTAAGCAAGGAGAAAAAACCTGTGCAAACAGAAACAGCATCAAAGGAAAAGGTGGGTGAAGGATAAGGAAGTGCAATGCAGCTCTATTTCAATTAATTAAATTATCTCATGTTCATTTAGATTAAATGAACACCTGAGAACATTTCCAGATCCAGCAGTTGTTTCTGGCTGCTCTTTACATCCCAGCAAAACCCTGCTGACTGCCTTCCCTCCCCTGCTCCCACAACTACCTTCACTAAATTTTCTTCTCAATTAACCTTGTGAAATGGGCAAATCTTTGTTTCCTCTCATAGCCTGAGTGAGAGCCACCTGAGCAGGAGTGTGCTGTACAGCATTTACAGCATCTTCTTTGTGAGAAATTGGGTGCTCATTAATTGTGTTCTGTCATTTTGGGGTCTGGGAGAGGGATGCCTCACTGCCAGGCTGTGTGCAGGAAACTTGCTCTCCACCACACTCTTAATTGATTTACCATCAATTTCCAAAGCCAGCTGGCCACTGGCAGCTGTGGAATTACCTTGAGTTGAATTAATCAGATTTATAGCTGCTGGGTTTGTGGCTTAGGTGTTTGTGGGGAAATAAAAGAATTCCCTTCAATTGGTTTTGATTATTTCCTCTGCATTTTTTTTTTTTTCAACAGAGCCACTCTACATCCTCATCCAGCAAGGAAGGCTGTTGTTTTTCTGAAGTTGGCTGTGCATTTAGGGTGAGTCAAACAGGTCCCTTCAGGATGTTCCCCCCTGGTTTGGACATTCCCTTCAGGGAGGTGTCTCTCAAAACAGAGCCAGCACTTCTGATGCCGGGTGATGGAGCTGCACCTGCACCTCGCAGTTTTTCCATCTCCCAGGGGGCTGAAGGACGCTGGGTTTGGCCCCAGGGCAGCTGGGGTGGCCGTGGAGGTGCAGTGACAGCGTTGTCTCCTCCAGGGAAGCAAAGAGAAGATCCAGGAGCACGAAAAATCCGCGCTGGGGTCTCACATGCTGCTGCTGCTGCAGCACATGAGGCAGCTGCAGGGAACCCTGTGCTCCAAGGGCTTCACCCCACGGCCAGAGCTGAGCTTGAAGAGTGCAGGAAAAAGCATCAGTGAGCTGCAGATGCCAGCAGGGCTGGAGTTCAGCAGGGATCCAGAGGTGGACTGTTTCCCTGGATCTTCTGTCCCTGAGGATGAGTCTGTCCTGCAGCAGCTCGTGAGGGAGAAGGTGATTTCTGAGCTGGAAAATAAGCTGCACGTGTTTGAGAACATTGTGGCAGTGCTCAATAAGGAGGTGGAGAGCTCTAATTTGGAAATCCTGGCCTTCAGGAGACAGAGTGAACTGGACCAGAACATAATACGGAGCCTTGAACTGAAGGTAAATAGACAGCAGGGATTGTCTGGGTGCTTGTTCTGTAGACAGCAAATGCTGACACACATCAGGGGGAGCTGGGTAGGGAGCAGAACAGGAGTCTGAGCTGTGAAGAGCTCAGATCTGGGCACATGTTCAGGATCCTTTTGTTGTTTGATACATTTTTTAAACGTGGATCTCTGGTATTTGTTCTCTAAATCCACGTTTAGGCAGTGAGATACTCCTGGGAGTTCTGAGTGCTGGTTTGCCATGATCAGCCTGTGAGCAGGCAGGAGAGCTGTTTAATGGCCTGATCCTCCCACAGCAGCATTTTGCCTGGAGGCCCAAACAGCATCTCTGTGTATGTTTTGACATATTGCTGTCACTGAGAAAGGAATCAAAGCACAGCTTCCAGAGCATGAGGACTCCAGGAGGACCCAGCCAGCCCTGCAGCACAGCCTGGAGCAGGGGGTGGCTGAGGACTGGTTTTTTGTCCCAGATTGCAGAGTTGCACCGGTGCCTGACGCAGAAGGACGCGGGCCTGAGCAGCCTGCACAAGAGCCTGCTGTTCTCTGAGCAAGCCTCCTACGATGGCATCTTCCTCTGGAAAATCACAGAGGTTGGCAGGAAGCTCCAGGACTCTGTGACTGGCAGGACAGTCAGTTTGTACTCCCCAGGTAAAGCTCAAGATGGAGATGTGTGCTCACAAGACCCCCCAGCCCTTCAGAATCCCCCCCCATTTTCCCAGAACTCTGCTTCTTTCTGCTCGTGCCAGCAGGAGCATCTTTAAACAGCTCCTTAAGCCAAGATGCTGTTTGTGCAGAGATCTGCAATCCAGGGCGTGGGATGTGCTTTTCCAGAGGGCTGTGCTCTAGTTTGGGCTCTCATCCTGCCCTTGGCTCTCCAGCACAGCTGCCTGCAGTGCATCCATCTCTCCCAGGTGCCTGCTGGCACCACGTGGCTGCAGCTCTTTCCCATGGGGGAAGTAACTGGATTAGGTAAATAACACTTGTGTGCCTAATAACAGGTAATTTTCACCAAGGTTTGAGGCACTAATAGGATTCCAACCACTGGGTTTTCATTGTAATCTCCAGGGGGTGCTGATTTGCCTGTTCTCCTTTCTGTGAGAGCAAACCACGTCACACGTTGCCTTTTCCCATATGCCAGAACACACATTATGCCTTCTTTCCCCCCCAAAAAAAACCCAGCCACGTCACACGTTGCCTTTTCCCATATGCCAGAACACACATTATGCCTTCTTTCCCCCCTCAAAAAACCAGTCTTACTAATGAAGAGTTCTGATTTTCAGCTTTCTACACTGCAAAATATGGCTACAAGGTGTGTCTGAGGGTGTACCTGAACGGGGATGGGACAGGGAAAGGAACCCACATGTCCCTGTTCTTCGTTGTCATGAAAGGAGACTACGACGCTTTGCTCCCCTGGCCTTTCAGGCACAAGGTAAGAAGGAAAACCTTTCCACAACTGATCCCAGCCAAAAGTCAACACAAGGTGCCTATTTCCCTGCAGTTTTGTGGAAGTTGAGTGCTTTTCCACGTCCCTTTCCAAAGGTGAGGGACTGCCTGGGTAATGATTTTCTCTGACTGGAGTCCCTTGCAGGGAAAGCTGCTCCTGCTGATATTCCAGACTTTGCCAGGCAGGATTGTCACCACCAGAAAGTGGTGTTTGGAATATTCCAACCTGTGTCCACCTGGGCTAAAGCCAGACACATCTTCTGGCCCTTGCTAAGCACAGGTAATATCACTTTAGAGGGAATTGTGATTTGCTGCCTGAAGGCATCAGAGGGGTGAGGTGAGACTTCCAGAGGTGCCACAGATGTCTGATGTGATCCTGGTCTGATTTTTTCCCTAAGTGTGATCAGATAATGGCAGCAATGGTTAGGAAAGCAGTGAAACCATGGCAGGGCCTGACCTGTGCTCTGGCACTTGCCTTTGTAGGGTAATAATTCTGTAAACCTTTCCTATAAATAGCTTTACTGCCAGTTAGCAGCCAAAAAAAAACCAAAAAAAACAACAACAAAAAAAAAAACCAAAAAAAAAAAACCAAAAATCAAAGTTCCCAATCCTGACTGTATTAAAAGATTGTTACAGATCTTTCATATTTCAAGCTATAGAACAGTGAGTTAATAAAAGGGGTAATGAGGTGGGGAGATTCTATACTGATATTTAGGTTGTGTCTTTTACCTATTTGTGCATGGGCAGCTGAGCTCTTTCTTCTGATTCCAAAGCACAATAACAGAATAAATGCAATGACTGTAACCAAACCCAGGGGCTGTTCAGGAGGGAGAGAGAGGAAAAAAGCCTTTGGACTGTGCAGTTCTCTACCAAGGAATAATTCCTTTCTTGATTTCATTTAATTTCATTTTATGGGTAGCAAAGTTTTAAAATCTTCACCTGGGAGTTCACATGACAGTACTGACCTTGCAGGTTGGAAACGTTTGTTACAGTTTGCATTTAATTATCAATTGGAGCTCTTGCAGCACTTCTGCTGGGTTTGTTTCCCACTCCAGTAACTCCTCACTGCCACATTCTGTTTTCCAGGTGACATTTATGTTGCTTGACCAAAATAACAGGGAACACATAATTGATGCCTTTCGCCCAGACCTGACTTCTGCTTCCTTCCAGAGGCCAGTGAATGACATGAATGTGGCCAGTGGCTGCCCCATGTTCCTGCCCTTGGCCAAGCTGCAGTCCCCCAAGCACGCCTACGTGAGGGAGGACACGCTTTTCCTGAAATGCATCATAGAAACAAATTAGCACATCCTGAAGTGTGGCTGGCTGGGGAGGCCACCCCTGAATATCAACAGATTATGAGGAAAAAAAAAACAAAAACAAACCTCAATTTGAGACCTTGTGTTAGTTTGTGTGTACACAAAATCCCCAGAGCCTGCACCCCCTAACCCACTGCCATGGCCTGGAGATGCCCCAGGGCAGCAGCTGCTTTAGGGGGATTATCCACCTAAGGAGACAATTCTCATGAGTTAGGAGTCACTCGTGGGTTAGGAGTCACTCACAGGGGTTAGGTGTCACTCCTGTCACTCGTGGGTTAGGTGTCACTCATGGGTTAGGTGTCACTCACATGGGTTAGGTGTCACTCCTGTCACTCATGGCTTAGGTGTCACTCGTGGGTTAGGTGTGTCACTGTCACCCCTGCCCCACGCTGCTGCAGAAGGGGCTGTTCCTCCTCACAGCTGTGACCCTGTGGCTCTGTGGTTCTGTGTCCCTGTGGCCCTGGGCAGGGGCTGAATTCCCTGCGTTCCCAGGTCTGTGGGTGCCCCTGGGGCTGAGCTGGCCCATCCTGGGCAGTGCCTGGCAGCCCCAGGGGGAGGATTTTGGCTGCTCACCAGCAGGAACAAGGGCAGATTCCTCCCCCCAGGCCCGGATCAGGGGTCTCTGTGCTTCCCCAGGACCCTGGAAGCCGGGAGCTGTGGCCCTGCTGTGGGCAGTGCTGCTGGCTGCAGCCCCACCCTGTTGGATTTATTCCTTGCTATTTATTCCAGACCTGTATTTCTGTGCTCTGTGAGGGGATGTTGAGTTGCATGGGCAGGCAGGGACCAGGTTACACCTCTGGGATTCCCAAAGGAGCCCTTGGGCTTTCCCACTGGGGATGCAGAGCTCTGGGAAGGTCAAAGCTCTGTATTTCTGTGCTCTGTGAGGGGATGTTGAGTTGCATGGGCAGGCAGGGACCAGGTTACACCTCTGGGATTCCCAAAGGAGCCCTTGGGCTTTCCCACAGTGGAAAGGGAAGGTCAGAGCTTTGCCCCAGGCAGGGTAAGGCCCCTCAGTGGTCTGGTTTGGTGTCCAGTCACTTCCTGCACCTTCAAGGCAGTTGACTTATTAGAAATTATTGATTTTTTTTTTCCCACTCTAAAATACTGCTAGAAATAGTTTTATTCTTCTTGGGTTTCCTAATGAAGGAATTAATATTTTTTTTTAATAAGCAAGACAGACTTGGGGCTGTCTGGATGTGTGCAAAATCTTTCACTTCTGTCTTGGCAACAGCCTTTAAAACAATTAATTGTGATAAAGCATCACATTTCAAAAACACCCACCCCATAAACAAATATTTATCAAAGTTTGTTTGGGAAGGAACTGGATATTCTATGTATCTTTTCCTCTATTCCACCTTTCAAATGTTCTTTCAAGGACACAGTTCTGGAGTAATTTACCTAAATACATTATGCTTTCCCTCTCTATCCCTTTGAAAGTGCTGTATTTATTACAATCATTCATATTTTCTTATGATTTTATTTATTTCCTAAATAAAGCTTACTAACTTAAGAAAGGCTTGGTGTTTTTTTTCACTGTCAGATAGGGAACTGAGCAGCTTGGAGATGTTATAGAAACAGCTGAGCCGTGCTATGCTGCACTTTCCTTCCTTGCTGTTTCCTTTCCTTCTTTCTGGGAAAGGAGGGACCTTTTGGGGCCGTGCTCAGGAGTGCAGAAATGCCCAGAACATCTCTGTCCACCTCCCCCAAACCTGCCTCGCTGGGAGAGCACTTCCAGGCTCTTCAACAGAGCCCACAGAGAGAGCTCAGTTAAAAAAAAAAAAAGACGGATATGGATGAAATCCATGCTAAATAAACAAACAGCCACGAAACCCGATGCTCCTCCATTGGAAGGCGCAGCTGGCAGTAACCAGCCAGATCTGCTCTGCCTGGGAGTGCCGGCACCCCTCGGACCCAGGGCTCTCCTCCGAGGGCATTTCCATCCCTGGGAAGGGCTCCGGGAGCTGGGGCTGCCCTGCCAGGCTCGGCAGGAACCGGAGGAATCCGCGGATCCCCTTTCCAGTGTGGGGTTCTTCCCGGAACGGGCTCGATTTTCATCTCCCGGACCTTCAGCCTCGATAAGGAAGAGGCTGGCACTGAAAGGAGCTGGAATGGGGGCGATATCAAGAGTTCTGTGATCCAGCAAATCATTTCTGTGTGGTTTTGTCTGGATCAAACCAAACGATGCAGAAAAATCAAGGAGGCTTTGAGAAAAAATCAGTGGCATTTGCTCCGTGTTCAATGGCCAGGTTGGCAAAGAGTCAAAATGCTGAGATGGCCTGAAATAGTCAGGGACAAAGTTTGGAGGGAACTTTATTTTTTTTTTTTTAGTGGTCTAATAAAGCTGAAAAAAAAAAAAAAAGAGGCAAAATTTTGGTTTATAAGCCCTTGTTCAGGACAGGGGAAGAACTCAAGCCTTGCACACGGGGGCTCGGGCTGGTTGTGTTGGTCAGCCAGGTGGAGAGGTGATGGAATTGAGACCCTCGGAGCAGAGGGAAGAGGGGGGAATGAGCAATTTGTGGGAGCCACTCCTATTATCAGGGATGTGTCCCATGGAACCGGCTGCTCCTCCAGCTGGAAGTGGCACTCGGGAGCCGCTCTGGAGGCGCCGGGGCCAGCGAGAGCCGCTCCTGCGGATCCGATCCCCACGCCAGGCCTGGAGCTCCCGGGAGCTCCGTGTTTGGGTTTCCATTCAATATTCCTCGGCTTCGGTCTCCAAGGCTACACGCCAACATCCAACCCCTCCTCCCACTCCTGTTTTCAAAGAAAGAAAAACACTGTGAAAAGAGGCTGCAACGATTTCTGGGCAGTTTTCAAAGCAGAGGCAGCGCTGGGAGCTGCTCTGCCCGCACTCTCCGCAGGCTCTGCTCCAGATTCCCGGCTGCTCCATCCCCCTGCGAGAGGGAAAGCACCTCCCCTCGGCAAGTGCAGGGTGTGGGGAGCAAGTAAAAGTTTTTAAGGAGAAATGGGAGTTTGGAGTAGTTATCTACACGGGGCACCATTCAAATCCTTCTGCAGAAGCTGGGTTTTTTGGGAATTCCACAGCCGGGAGCCCTGCCCTGGAGCCTGAGCTGGTCGAGGAGGGGGCGGGATTGCTGCCCTCAGCTTTGCCCCTTTTGGGAATTCCACAGCCGGGAGCCCTGCCCTGGAGCCTGAGCTGGCGCCAGTCCCTGGCCGAGGAGGGGGTGGGATTGCTGCCCTCAGCTTTGCCCCCCTTTGGGGGGTCTCGTTCATTTCTGTTCCCTCGTTTACAGAATAATCTGCTTTTAAGGGCCGGATACTCCTGCCCTGCTCCAGCACAGACAGCGGGGCAGCCTCGGGTGCCAAACCAGTGTCCAGCTCTCCAGGCGCTGTCACAGCCCCAGCACCCGCCTGGGACCGCCATCCCACTGCCAGAGAAATGGGATATCCGGGGATAGCTAGGTGGGTGTGAAGCGGAGGAAGAGGAGGATGAAGAGAAGGAAAGAGAGGAGAAAGGAAGATGAGGAGGAAGAGGAAGAGAAGGGAGCTCACTGCAGTGCAATCTGAGGCCAGGCTTGCTGGATGCTGTGGCAGAAGCACCTGCAAAGAAACCAGAGTTAAATCTGGTTTATGTTGCTGTAATTATGTTACTTGATTCCGGATGGAAAATACAGGATACATTTCAAATTCTGGGGTTTTTTTTTTTTTCCACTTTTGTTGGAGACTTTTGTCCCAACGCGACGCTCCCGTGCTCTCCCTCCGTGTGGAATGGTTTCAGTCGGGTTCTCCCTGCGTACACCCCCGGTGAACTCGATCCAGCCTTTGATTTCCGTGTCACACCATCCGCATTCCTGCGGCGAGCAAGCAGAGCGCTGCAAACACCAGCCGCGGGGCCGGGAGGAGGGCGCTGCTCCCCCGGTGCCCTCGGGGACAGGCTGGGACAGGATCGCTGTCCCGGGAGCGCAGCAGCCCCCGGCATTTCGGGCACACGCGGCACGGACGGGGAGCGGGGTTTCTCCCGGGCTTGTGGGCAGGGGTTATTTTAGTCCCGGGTGACTCACACTTATCCCGGTGTGACTCACGGGGAGCTGGGGCCCGCGGCTCCTTAGGGGCACGGCACGGCACGGCACGGCGTGGCACACTTGGCACACGCGGTTTTTCTCACGCAGCCCAGCGCAGGGAGCGGCAGCGCGGCCCTGCCGGACCCGCGGCTCCGGGAATCGCCTTCCCCGTGCCCTCCGCAGGTGCAGCATCACGGGGAGCACTCTGACACCAGTGGTTTATTAACAGTTTGATTAAATAAATGATTTCCCGTGCCGTGTTGATCCCCCCTGGAGCTGCTCGCTGGCAGCTCGGGCTTTGTGACACGTCCGAGCCCCAGCTCCGGGGCTGCATCCATCACGGACAGGAAAAGCCGTGCGGATTCTGCTCGCGCTTGGCCCAGACCCGGCTCTGGGAATCAGATCTCCTATGGCCCGAGCAGCCTGGAAAACATTGCTTTTCCAGGATCGCTTTCCAACAAACAGCAAAACCTACAGATTTCTTCTTGGCACCGACCGAAGCATTTTTACAGCGATTGATTTTTCTCTGTGAGATTCAGAGAAAGGCTGAAAGGCTGCTCCCTCTTCCAGGAATCCCGGCGAGCACAGGTCGTTCCCTCTCGGGACAATGCGGAGCAGGCACTGCCCGCATCCCACCCCCTGCCCGCCCCCCAGCCGGGCCACCGGGGGAAGCCCGTTCCTGGCTGCAGCCGCGGCTCGGAGGGGACAGGCGGGGACGTCCCGCGTGTGCCAGAGGGTGACGGTGCCTCTCCACGGGCGGTGGGTGCGTGGCCGACCCTGGGTGCCCCGGCCCGGCCCCGGGGATGCCGCCTGCGCTCCCGGGAGCACCGGGCCGGCCCAAGCAGGGAAGTGCCGAGCCGGGATGCGCCCTGCCGGTCCGGTCCGCTCGGTTCCTATCGATGCCAATCCACGCCGGTCGGTCGGTGTCACGCCAGTGGGTCGGTGCCAATCCGGTCCGGTTCGGTCC